TAAGACAGCAGCTGACCCTGAGCAGTGGCCAGGCACTGCCTTCGCATGGCAGTGACTCGTCTCACTCTCACCTGTGATTACATACTGTGAATTATGTTCATTTTACAGCTCGTTATAGATCACACACACAGCCTGCTTCAGCTAGGCTAACTCTTCACTTTGCGGAAGTTTTTATCCTAATCCTGTAGATCAGTTGTAGAGTTCATAAGAAGTATAAAGAATCAGACCAGGAAGGACACACCTCAGATAGTACCAGGTTAGTCAGATGACCTCCAAGTCCCTGTGAACAAACCCCTCCTTTCCAGTAAAGAAAAGCAAGGCCCAGGGCAGGCACCTGCCCAAGCCTACAGTGCTGACTGGTTGCAGCCATTTTCAGTCCAGCACCCTTTGCAATTTTCAGCCCTGCCTTCTGTCACAGGCAATGAGAGCTACTAATCCCCACCAAACTTTTTGTCTACTTATACATGCTTGAAAGTAAGTCCAAGTAAAGAAGTGAAGTTCCTCCTAGTAAGTCAACTCTCAACTATCTGACATCTTCGAAAACCCAGTCCTCCATGAAGCCTTTCCAGACCATTCGTGCTTCATCCATATTCACTGAATGGGGCACAGGGCAGAGAAGGTGCATATCCTTGAAGCTTACACGATAGCAGGGGAAAGAGACAAAAAACAAACCTCTAGATGCGGTAAGTGCTACCAAGGAAGCACATAAAGGGCAGAGCGGGAGAGAAGGGGCTAAGGGGTAAGGGTGCTACTTCCGATAAGGTCGTCTGGACAGTCTCTCTGAGGTGGCGATTTTTAAGCTGAAATCCAAAGATGAGGAGCCATCCATGCTAAGAGCCAAGAGAAAGAAAAGTCCAGGCGAAGAGAACAAGCCTGAAGCAGGATCTGGGCTTATCCAAGGAACTCAGAGGATTGGATGAGTACTAAGAGAGGAGGGTGGAGAAACAGGAGGCAAATTAAGCAGGGTTTTGCCCATTTAAAGACATTCTGCCTTGAAAGATTTTAAACAGGAAAAAGGTCATCGGATTTCTGCTTTAAAAGTTCTCTCTGGAGGCTTTTAGAAAATGGACTGGAGAATAAGATTCAGAGTGGAAGCGAGCAGTCCAGTTAGATTTCAAAGTAGGGTCAGCAAACCAGTGGACCTCTGAGAACTGCTTGTTTCCTATCTAGGAGGAGATAATTACAGAAATGGAGAGTAAGTTTAGAAACTTCTGTAGCCACCTGACACGGCTGCAGCATCCCCGCACGTGATCAGGAGGCTCATCTCGTTGAACAGATTGTAAGCTCAGTTCTCGATGGTCTCACTCAGATGGCAAAGCTGCACAAAAGGATCAGTCACGATGCACTGAAGATTTTAAAAAGCTGTTCCTTCAGCACCGATCATTTGCGAAGTACTAGTCTTGGTGATTCATAACAGGGCTGAGACAAGGGTGGTGGCAGTGGAGATAGAAACAAAAAGGACAGTTTCACATTGGAGAAGGGCTAGAATCTACTGATACATGAGATGCAAGGGGAAGAGACAGAGGTACCATTTATTTGGGAGAGAAGACAAGGGAGGAAGTGATTTAGAGGGAATGTGTAAAATTTCAGGTGCCTCCGTGACATCCAGACAGTGGACGTTTGACTTTAGAGCTGAGGACAGGTTTCGACTGGAGGTCAACTCCAGAATTATTGTCACATAACCAACATTTAAAGCCATGGGAAAGGGTAGAGAAGAGAGTCCTGGGTAAGGGCACCTCAGTATTGAGAGGTTGGAAAAGGAAGAGGAACCTGCAGAGAGTGGCCAGCGAGAGCCGAGAACACAGAGACTTGGACGGGGAGACGGCAGAGGGCTTCAGGAAGGAGGGGACTGCTGAGAAATACATTATGAGGACAAGAGGCGTCCGTCAAAATGTTAGTGGCCCGGAGACCACTGGTGGGCTTCCGACGGTTTCACAAGAGCAGTGTGCACACGAGTGAGACAGCTCGACAGTAGAGACAACGGCCCAAATAAACGTTTTCTTCTGCATTCCCACAGTCCATCTCTTTCAGCACACCTGTCTGTCTCCTATCAATACGAAGGTTACCTGTTTTCTGTCCGTGCCCCCAGTTAAGTTGTAAGCTCCATAAAGGCAAAGATTGTGTCTCACCCGTAAAATCTTCTGCCCTGCAGCTTTAGTGCAAGATGTTTGAACTGCATTCAACTCACTTTGCTCAAGATTTTACTAAAAATAACACTTCACAAGAGGTCGAAACAAAAACACAATGCCTATTGCTATTTTATTTTTAAATGTTTATTTTATTTATTTTGAGAGAGAGAGAGAGCAGGGGAGGAGTAGAGAATCCCAAGCAGGGTCTGAACTATCAGCATGGAACCTGATGCAGGGCTTGAACCCATAAACTGTGAGAGCATGACCTGAGCCAAAACCAAAAGTCAGACGCTTAACCACTGAGCTATCCAGGTGCCCCCGGCCATTGCTACTTTAATCTGCTTATGAAATTGAATATGTGTGTGTGTATAGCCACCTAGCACAATCATTCTGCATTAAACGATCCACCTAGCACAATCATTCTGCATTAAACGATCCCTGACATGCTCTAAAAAACAATATCCAGTACAAGAAATTACATTATAAAGGCAATCCTCTACCTCAAGGATACCAAACGTATGCCTAGCCACACTTTATATATGGTGGTTATAGGGAAGTAAACAAGTTTTTCAAAAAAGTAGAAACGTGAATTTTGTTAAATGGAAAAAAATGAAAAAGCCCTTCGGGAAAAATCGAGTAAATCATATCAAGTAAAAATAGCTTGGGTCCAATGGCAATTACCTCCTTATAGTCTCCATTTCGGTTGAGTCTGTAACCCTCAGGAGTATGAAGTTGAACGGTCGTATTATTGATCACTTCTATGCAACACTCTTGATCAGGAAGGCTCAGTGGGCGCACCCTACAGTATACCTGAAAATACAGGAAGGGACTTTAAGAACAAAGGTTGACTTTTTACCTGACTTTTCATTTAAGCTTCCCATTTGTTCGTTCAACATTTGGTCTCTCGATATTAGAGATTCATATAAACTTAGAGCCATGAAAACCAAAACTTGCTACCAGAAATGGTCAGATGCACACAGATATATTAGACATTAGAGAGATTTTTAAATGCACCTACAGTTGAAGTAAATTTGGATAACAAAAGCATCAAAGTCACACAGCTTCTCTTCACTGTCGTGCAGGCACAAATTTAATAAAGTTACACTATTACTAATTTTAAAAATCTCTAAAATCAACATTACACAGTGAGAATTTGAAAAGCTGTTAGAATTGTTTGAAACTGAATGTCAAGCAAAACTTGACAGCTTAACACTCAATAAATATACAAATAAAGTATAAAGTGCAACATCCTAAACACATCTTCTCAATCAATGATAGGGTTGAGGAAAAACTATTCAGCTTGCAAAAAGCATCTAGTTCCCTCAACTTAGAACAAGAGACACATTCCTGTGCCAGTGAAGGACAGACCGAAAATATCTGAGCAAATCAAACTAGTATTTTTTGCATTTGACTTTAAAAGCAAGGTCCCAGGTCTGAAACTAGTGAAGTATGTGCAATTTTGAGAAGTTAACTAGACTGAATTTAGCTACTCTACAGCAGTCTTTATGAAGCATGCCATCAAGTACTATTTAATGGTGGTGAAATGGGGAGGACGCTCACTGGAGCAGAAATTCCTACCTCCAGCTGAGAGTAGGAAGAATTCTCTGGGACAGCTGAAGAACATTTTTCATCATCTAATTGTTCAAATCATAATTAGTTACAGGAGTTATGCAATTGACAACCTAAGACTTCATTTTGCTGGACTAAAGAATCCTACACGGAGACAAAATCTCAAAGCTGAGATCTCCATCCCTTCCAAGCACACACAGAAGACAGAAAAGGACTGAAGAAAAAACACACAAACAAATTCACAGAGAGACCTTACCCCAACTGGGTCTTTAAGACTCGTTTGGGATCCTTTCTTCACTAGAAGTTTCCTGGGCGTCTTAGTCCTCCTGGTCATGGGTTAAAAAAAAATTCTGTTCAAACTAACGTACAAAAACCTCACCTGTAATTCACAGGGAGATAACCTTCCTAGAGCTTATAAAGTTATCCCTTAGCAGTTCCAAAACCTCACCCCCCAAATAACATAAGAATATGCTGCATTAGAAGAATGTGACACGCATAATGCAGAAGTAAAACTGGGTTTAGGAGACATTTTTGGTTCTAGATGTGCCTACTTACTGTTTGAGTAGTTCTATATTTTAAGTAGTTTGCATATTTTCTTGAACAATTTTACAGAAGCATGACAAAGCTGAAAAATCTACAGATAATTGACCACACTCATCTTGAAGGCACTTATCTATGCGCACAAGCACACACACCGCTCTGACGGCCCTTGCCAAGGCAGACTGACAAGCTATTGACTTCACCAAATTATAAAAATGCAGATGGAGGGGCGCCTGGGTGGCTCAGGTCATGATCTCACAGCTTGCGGGTTCGAGCCCCGCGTTGGGCTCTGTGCTGACAGCTCAGAGCCTGGAGCCTGCTTTGGATTCTGTGTCTCCCTTTCTGCTCCTGCCCAACTCGTGCCCTCTCTCTCAAAAATTAACATTAAAAATTTTTTTTAATAAAAATAAAAATGCAGATGGACGGATCCATTTTTTCATCAAGATCAAGGTCTATACTTTTAAGGAACAACTGTTTATTGAGTTCTCCACGCTATCATCCTTTGTCCCCAAACAAAATTTAGTCTCCAAACTGCAATTTCTCTTGCTCTCTTAGAAACAAAGGAAAAACGTATTTTGACTTCAGTTCACCAATTTCTCCAGCATGCCCCTTTCCTCCACCAACCCCCACATTTATCTGTCGTGTAGATGAACACTTAACATCAAAATTAAGTGAAATTACTGGCATGGGCTACGGATTATTAAAATATTTTCTCAACATGTTCCAAGATGAAACAAATTAGTGTTTTAAGTACAAACTATTACGGTAGGTTTACTTAAACTCAACCTTTTTTTTTT